CGTGCCTGTAAATGCCCCTTCGAGGGACTCGGTCGAGGTCAGTGACTCGTGGAGGCGGTCCTCTTCTAATTCGTACGCGGGTCGCACCGCGCATGCTTCTCTTTGTTCTCTTGATGTCATTTTTTACTCAATAATATCACATGTACATGCAACTCAATATATAAATCAGATAAAGAAGTATTGATTTGGGAAAGGTAGTAATTTACTTTACAATATTCGTTCTCCCTTTTCTCAAATTTAGGTTCTTTAACTCTCAAGGGATTAAATGGATCACAAAGTCTTCAACTACTCTAATTTTTACGTGGTTAACTGTATGGTCTCTATTTGATTACCTTACTCGCGACACTAATATTGTCTCTACAGTTTATAAACACTGCTAAATGTTCGTGAAAGTGTTTATTGTCTATACCGTTTCAAGGCAATGTATACGGAACCAAGTTCTAGCACTTACCCGCTCGGTACAGTCTGTTCCCGGGACCTGTCACTAGACTGCTCCTGGCTGCGGTATTCACTTATAATTATGCAAAGGACAACGTATTATTATTAGGGTTAACACTGACTTTACTACAAGTTTGTGGTTCAAGCTCTCATAGCTTGCACCACTAATATGATTTTTATTTAATTTCAGCTGAAGGCACTAACTGTTAATATGTTCTTTCTTTCAGGTTCAACTACCCTTCAATAATTCACGCTGAAGGCGCTATCACCACCAAGGACCGGATCAGAAGAAACCCAAGTTTATACTGACACATATATTGTAGGTAAGTACAACTGACTGATACTTCTCTTGCAGGTAGTTAAAACGCCTAGGTGAAATTCTTCCCGCGATCGCGTCTTTACGATTTAGTCTTGATTATATTAATTCGGCTCCGCGCACTTTCTTCCAATTTTCCCAATTTCGCCCTTACGTACTACTCACGCAAAGGCTATTTCGCGAGTCGTCTACTATAAACCCAAATTCGGAATAGGTCGGTCGATACCACTTTACTGACCAATTAAGATTAGTTATGACTTATGTCGGAATCCTTCCAGGACGTCCGCACTTGAATATATCGAAACGACGCTTGTCAACTTTGAATTCTTTTCGGAAAACACTCCCAACGTGGGTTCGATTTCCATACGAGGTCTGCTGGCTTGCTCTCCGCGATTCCGTTCTTAAATATCCAGTCGGACCGATAGGACCCGCCCTAAAACGCTGTGTCCGCCAATCGGCTCGGATTTTCCTATACTTCTAACAAAACTAATTTCTCAAATTTTTAACTCGCATTTCACGGATCACAGTCGTCAAGGGCCCGTGTCTCCTTCTTAACCCTTCCGATGAAAACGCGACGAACGGGTTATCCGAATCCCTCGTGGAATCCATATTGTACCTCTTTCTTGAAGAAGAAAGTTGACGAATTCTTTTTGTAAATGTCGACGAATTCTTTTTAAATGGTATGTGTGTTGTTTGTATGTAGGTGTGTATGTGTAAGTTTTGGCCACAGGGCTCTTTTCGACTCGAGTTGGCCTTCCGACTCTTTTTATCTCTGGCTTTTTTCTGAGATCTGTCTTTTTCCTTTTTTCTGTCTCACTTGACTCTTATCAATTCTTTTTCTTATGATTATTATTTTATTGCTGGAAAGGATCTCTCTTTTTCCTTTTCTATTATTTTCTTTTTATTATTTTATTTTTTTAATTGTTTTAATTATTTAGGTGGGTTTAGTAATAAAAGATTGAAATAATGGTAAACGCAGACAAGCGAAAGCAAAGTGGTAGTGAGCGTAAGATTGCTTCGTGCGGTGCGAAGGCTTATGGTCAAGTGAGCTGCGGAGCGCGCGCCAATATCCTTGGCAGGAAAAATGATCTCGGATGGAGCGGGGTCGAGCGGGATTATCGCTCTTCACCCACTTCATCGCTGTAGGCCCGGACGCCTCGTAGAGGTAGGCCCTTTCCCCGTCATTCCGGACCGCCAACGCGGCCGGATTGGATCGGTTCGTCGAGCCTCCTCCTGTCCTGGCTGGGCCCCGCCGGCTAGGGCCCTTTCTTCTGGCGCTCTTCTTTCTTCGCCGGCTCGTCTGTGTATACCCCCGGGGGTGTCGTGTATCGGTCGCAAACGACGACTGTCGTTTGCGACCGGGGTGGTGGTTTTGGGTGAGGTCGTGCAGCTATGCAGCTTAGGAAGCGCTTTGCTAAGGTGGCCCTTAGGCTAGCGCGGGAGGGGAGAGTGGGATAAGGAAGGTAGGGGGGAATGTGTGTGTGTGTGTGTGTTCGTTTTCGTCTCTTGATCCTGGCGGTCCTGAAACAGACAGAAAAATTTCGACTCACCCTGCGTCCAGGAGTTGATGTCTAGGCCGCCTGCGTCTGCCGGCAGCCTCTTCGGGTCGGTAGTCCACCGCGTTCCGGATCAGCGGGTTGCTGTGGATCTCGGCGCGCTCGAAAAGCTTTCTCGCGCGCTCTCTGATCGCTTCCAGGGCTGAGGTGAATCCCAGATCCCGGCGAATGTCGCTGTTGCGGACGAACCAAGGGGCCCCCGTCGCGCAACGGAGGGCGATATTCTCGACGGCTTGCACCCGGGCTAGGTGCGTCTTCGCTGCGTGTCCCCACGCGGTTCCAGCGTATGTCAGCTGTGGCTGCAGTACTGCTCTGATGAGGGTTAGCTTATTCCGCAGGCAGAGACGGCTGTCCCTGCACAGAAGCGGATAAAGCTTCGCCCTCACCATCTTCGCTTTGCGCGTCACTGCTTCGACGTGCGGCTTCCACGTCAGCGTGCGATCCAGGGTTACCCCTAGGTACTTGACGGTGGTCGCCCACTGGATGTCTTCTCCGTTGAACTTCACGTGTCCCTGGGGGCGCGTTTGGTACCTACGAGAAAACATAATACCTGTGCTTTTCTCCGGGTTGATCGCCACCTTCCACCTGTTGCACCAGTCCTCTAGTTGGCTTACAGCTCTTTGGAGGTACCTCTTCGCCATATCGGGGTTCAGGGAACGGGCCGTTATGGCGGTGTCATCGGCATAGAGGCACACGGTAGTGCGCTCTGTCCTGGGCATGTCGGATGTATAGATGTTGAACAGGTGCGGTGATAGCACGGCTCCTTGGGGGACGCCTGCTTCGACGTCTCGATAGGTGGATAGGGCCCCTTCCACCTTCGCACGCAGCTTCCTGCCTCTGAGGAAGGACTCCACCAGTTTGACCAGTCCGACAGGGTAGCCAAAGTCGAGCATCTTAGCCAGAAGCCCATCGTGCCAGACCCTGTCGAAGGCCTTGGCGACGTCCAGGAAGACTGCCGCGGTGGATTCTCGGTTGTTGAAACCTGCGGACAGATGTTCTACTAACCTGAGTATCTGTTGCTCCGTTGAGTGTCCGCTGCGGTAGGCGAATTGTTCGTCGGGGATGACTCGCAATTCGTCCGAGCTCTCACGCAGTCTGGTCAGGATGATCCTCTCCGCTACCTTGCTCATCATCGGCAGGAGACTGATGGGCCTGTAACTGGCAGCAAAGGTTAGATTCTTACCTGGTTTCGGGAAGAAGATGACGTCGGCTTTCTTCCACCTAGCGGGGAATCTTCGCAGTCTCAGGATGGCGTTGACGATGTTGAGCAGCGCCATCACTCCCTTGTGGGGGAGCTTTCTGAGTATTCGATTTCCGATCTGGTCGCATCCGGGTGCCTTGCGGGGGTTGAGGCGCCGCAGGATGTCCCTCACCTCCTCGGGTGTCGCCGGCCTAATGTCGTCCCTGTCGGGTTGGCGTCTGTAGCGCCGTACGCGTCGTTCCACCTCGTCGGCGTGGTCCTCGTCTTCGTCGTCGAGAAGGTTTTCCCTACACTGTAATTCAAGGCTGTCGGCGAATGCCTCGGCCTTTTCATACCTGGTGTAGACGATCCCGTTCTCTCCGTGAATGGGAGGCATAGGCTTCCGGGTGGTCCTCAGCGCCCGTTGCATCGTCCACAGGCTGCGGTCTTCGGGGTTTAGTGACTCCAGATGTCGTTGCCACGAGTCCTGGTAGTGCTCCTCTAGGGCCGCTTTTACCCTCCGGTTCAGCTGGTTTAACGTCTGCTTATCCCGGGGGTGTGCTGTCCTCGTGGCTCTTCTTTTCGCCGCACGTCTTTCCCTGATTAGGTCCTGCAACATAAGAGGTAACTCACCTGCATAGTTCGCTATCCTTCTCTCCGTCGTCTCCGTGGTGCTGGCTTCCAAGGCGGTGTGGATATCCGTCTCAAGGCTCGCGATGGCAGCCTCGAGGTCCGCCGCGTCGCGGATGACCGGAATGGGTGCGCATATTCGTTGCATTTCTGCGCGGAATAGGCCCCAGTCGGTCCGCCGCTTGGCAACGGTGTCCTCGCCGCGACGCTCGTCTCCTAAGGTTAGGAGAATGGGGGCATGGTTCGTCGCCCCCTCGTAGTGCGTCGTCAGATCGGCGTCCATCGGTATTGCCCTGAGCAAAGCGATATCCAACACGTCTGGTCTTCCAACTGCACCGTAGTACGTCGGTCCATCGGGTCCATACGCTGCAACGTCCTCGTGGTTCTGCAAGAATTGCAGAAGCACCCTGCCACGCGTGGTGGTGGTCGTGCTGTGCCATTCGGGCGATTTCGCGTTAAAGTCCCCGATGGCTACGGTTTGGGGCCACGTCTCCAGGACCGCGCGTAAATCGTGATCGGTGAGCGGGAGATGAGGGGGCTGATAACAGGTCACCACGGCGATGTCTCCGTACCTGCGAGTACGAATCGATACGGCGGCGGCTTCCATGTTTTCTAGCTGAGGAACCTACAACATATGGTGATTTATACCTCTTTTTACGAGCAGGGCCACGCCTCCTCCGTGTCTGTTTCGGTCCTTGCGATACAGTAGGTAGCCAGGAATCCTAACAGTGTGTGCGTCCTCTACTTTGGTCTCTTGTATCGCCATCACGTCCACGTCTAGACGGGGCAAGAGCTCCTTGAGTTCGATTTTTCGCACCCGGAATCCGTCGACATTCCAGGAGGCAATTCTGAGGGACTGCACACTCGTCGGAGGGTCCATTTACTCCTGTAACAGAGATGGCATTTTACTGAAAAAAAGCCGACAACGCGGAGTACATCTCCCGCATTTGTGCCAGCATGCTGGGCACATTTGCGGGTTCCGTGCTCCTGTCGGTTTTAGCCCCCCCCCCCCCTTAGGTGCCGCGGCGGGGCCCTGCCTCGGCATGGCGGCGTCGGCAAAGCTTTTCGCCGCCGTCACCTTCGGGGGGTGTGCCAACTTAGCCTGTTGTTTGTCAGCTTGGGGGCCCTCTTTGCGCTGCTGCTTCTTGCTTCCTGTCGTCTTCTTAGGGAAGCTAGAGCATCTGCGGTAGCTGGCGAGATGTTCGCCTCCGCAGTTGGCGCACTTTGCCGGGGTCTCGCGCTTCTTAGTGCAGTCTGCCGAGTGGTGACCCTCGCCACACTTCACACACTTGACATCTGCGGTGCAACGGCTCTGCGCGTGACCGAAGCGCTGGCAGCGATGGCACTGCGTCGGCTCGGTTCTCGCCCTCTGCGGTTCCACCCTGACGACTAAGTGGCAGCATCTTGTCACCTTGAGCAGGTCCTCTTGCTCCAGGGGGACTTGTACAAGTACTAGAGGCATGGGGGCCTTGTTCCTCCGGCTCTTCATTCTGAAAACAGATGTTATTTAGAAGCCCTATACTTCGAGGTCAGACCGAATTTCCTCGTTGGAAATTCCGTCTGGTAGCCCTCTGACCACGGCCCTCAGCAGCCGCTCGCTTGGAGAGAGAAGGTGTGAAATTCCTTCCCCTCATCGGCGAGGACACGCGTGAGGTGTCGATAATTATCAGGCGTTCGCGGGTGAATGGCGATGCCTTCACCCGTTAACCTGGCCCTGGTGTAATTTATTTTCCTGTTTGTCAGACTCCTGCTGACCTACGACCACTGCTCCTTCTTGCGAAGAATGACAGGCGGTTTCCTCTCGGCTTTCTCGGCAGGGGCCGCGCGCTCTGATGTTGTTGGTACGATTTCGGGGACCTTCACCTGTTCGGCGACAGGTGCTTCGTTCGCTTTTGCTGGCTTCTTTTTAGCCTTGCAGGACTCCTCCTCGGAACCCGACGAGGTCCCTGGCTTACCTCGCTTTACCCCTTTTGGGGCCTGTTGTCCTTTGAGGGCGTTTAACAGCTCGGCGTGCTGTTCTCGAGACCTCTTTTCAAGGTCCTCGAACGCCTTCCTCTGTTGCCTTAGCTCATCTCTGAGGTCGTCTATCATTTGCCGTAGTCTGGCATTCTCTGCTGCCAGCTCACTCTCACGGCTAGTTGTCGTCTCCACGATCGACCCGGGGGTGCTAGGCCTGCTGTCGCCGGCTTCGTTGCCACTCGAGCGGTCGCTCTCCATGGGGGTCGGAGATCTCGACATAGTGCCCTCCTCCCCGGCACCCGAATCTGTAAAACAAATGCCGGCGGTCTCTCTGCCTAGGCTGAGATAACGTCGGTCGTTAGTAGAAATTTTGCAATATAAAATTGCCGAATTCTTTCTGTAGATTGCCTTAATAAAGGCAGAATATTACTTGTCTTGTAAAAGCCCCATTTTGTGGGGCTTCCACTTCACAGTACCTCGCATTGACACTCACTGCTGCAATGCACAAACTACGTCCGCACAGTTCGGCTACTCGCTTGGAACTCCTTCTAGCTGCGGAGCGCCGCACCATTATTCTATGGCTAGAAATTGGCCTCAATGATTTGGGTTCGAGGGGGATTATCCCTCTTTATCCTGCCTCATCTCGTGTAGGCCTGGACAGCCTTCGTAGGTGGGCCCCATCCGTCGTCTACCCCGACCGCAAATGCGGCCGGTGTAGGCGCTTTGTGGGACCTNGGGATCGAGGGGGATTATCCCTCTTTATCCTGCCTCATCTCGTGTAGGCCTGGACAGCCTTCGTAGGTGGGCCCCATCCGTCGTCTACCCCGACCGCAAATGCGGCCGGTGTAGGCACTTTGTGGGACCTCCTTTTGTCCTGGCTGGGCCCCGCCGGCTAGGGCCCTTTCTTCTGGCGCTCTTCTTGTTTCGCCGGCTCGTCTGTGTAAACCCCCGAGGGTGATGCCATGTTTATGTGTGGTATGGTTGGTTAGGGTAGTGCGGCTATGCAGCCTGGAATGCGCTTTGCTAAGGTGGCCCTTAGGCTAGCGCGGGAAGCTGCGGAGCGCTAGCTCCCCCACCTTTTATACGTTTCGGTGAGGTAGAGCTAGCCTCCGCCCATCGGCGCGTTTCTCTGCGCTCCGGCGACATCCCCCCGGTCCTTGACTTTACTATCGCTTTTTCTGACTTTTTATTGTCAAACAAGTCACCTCTGGTACAAATCTAAAACATCAAAAATGTATAAACAGAAACAACATTTTCAAACAGGTAAGGAACATAAACAGTTTTCAACTATAATCAATATATGAACAAATAACAATGCAAAAACAATAGAACATATCCAAAACAATAAACAAGAACGGTATGTACAAATATTTACAACAAGTTTTGACCGCCCTGCATGTGTATCGAGACGTCTGAGTTTACAAAGGTTTTTTTGACGTTCGCATATGCAAGACGGAGTTATCAAAAGCAAAGGTTAATCAGAGTCAGTAAAATCGTCGCACTCGCACACAGACGGCACTAAAGTCGTTCCGCGGCACTCGCGATCGTCACTTTCCGCGCACTGCACCCGCGACGTCGTCGCACTGGCGTTGCTGGGGTCGGATTCCGCTGCCTCGACGTCGGCTGCCTGGCTGGTCGCGGCGGCGGTGTCGCTGGCTGGATCGGCGTGGGTCGTCGTTGGATACCGAACGAAGATGCGAGACCGGCGTTTATGTGGCCGCTCGCTGGCCTGCGACGGCGGTGGCTACTTGGGTTGCTGGTCTCGTCGTGGCTGGAGTCGGTCTGGCGTGGCGTTGCGGCTCGTACCCGCTTGCCTTCGAACGTCAGCTTGAGCATCGGCTGTGGCGGACTGACTGTGGGTATCGTCGGCAGGACGAGGTAATGGGATTTCTGTCGTGCTAGGGGCCTCCCTAGCGTGGTCGACGTTTTTTGGCGGGTCCTCGTCTGGCTCTGGGGGATCGTCTGGGTCGGCTTCGTATGGGTCAGCACGCGGCGGCGGCGTGCGAATGTCATCTACGTGCATCGGCTGGGTATTGCCGTTTTGGTCTACCATATAAACACCTTCGCCGAGGACTTCTATGACGGGATATGGCCCTGACCATTTCGGGGCGAAGATCGGGTTACCAGGCCGGGTTTTGGTAAGCACAGGTCGCCTCGGTGGTACTGGCGCGGAGCTAGTCGTGGTTCGGGGAAGAGGTTTCTTTAATAGACTTCTTGTCTACGGCGCGCCCTGGCGACGCGTTCATCTCGGGGTTGTGGCTGCGGTCTTGCGGCGGCCGGAATGGCCCATTCGCCTGGTCGTCGTATAGCTTACCCAAATAGCAGTTCGGCGGGCGACGTGCCCGTCGCGGTGTTGGTCCTGGTTCTCTAGGCAAAGAGGGCCTCAAGTAACGCCTCGTGCCAATCGTGGAGTCGCCCTAGGACTAAGGCGCGGATGGATTTCTTTAGTTCTTGGATTATCCTCTCGACCGGGTTGGCTTGTTGGTGGTAAATAGCCGATGTGTAGCCTTCGATGTGTTTTTCGGCGAGGTAGGTTGTCCACCGTACGGATTGGTAGAGCCGCGCTGTATCGGTGATGATTGACTCGGGATAGCCGTAACGGGTGAATGTTTCCTCCATAAAACCGATGTCTCGGGCTTTTGTAGCGGCGGTCGGCTTGGCTTCCACCGATTTTGTAAAAGTGTCCATAATTACGATGACATATCGGCTTTGGCGTGGTGTTCCTTCGTAGGGGCCTAGAACATCTAGGCTACCACCCGTCACGGCTCGGTCGGGGGCCACGGTCTCAGCGGTGCTTTCGCCTGTGGAGGCCCGATCTTTACGGCTGCGCAGGTAGCGCAACTTTTAACCCACTCCTCCAGTATTCGGCGGCGAAGTTGTTTGGGAATGTATAGTAGAAGTCGGTCTGGGGTTCTTTTCCAAATACAGTCTTCGACGAGCGCGTATTCGTCCACTAGGCGCTGTTCCTCGTGGTTAGCTGGGCCTTCGCGTGCCAAACGCTGCAGGCGCGCTTTATCCTGGGCACAGCAATCGTCGTCCCTCTGGGCGACTACGATTTCTTCGAACAGCGTCCGTTCGTTGATTACATTCAACGTCGGGTGGAGATTTGCGTCGTCGAGCGGTTGTTCTGGGTCGCATGCCGGGTTCCGCGACAGGTAGTCGGGCAGTTCGTTGCGATGTCCCGGGACGTGAATAACGGTGAATTTGTATGTCTGTAGCATCAGGGCCCATCGCGTAAGTTTTGCTCGTTCGTCCTGATACTTACGGAGTCATAGCAGCGACCTGTTGTCGGTGTACAAGGTGAACGGCTGGTCCTGCAGCAACATCCGATATTTACGGATTGCCCACACGGCGGCTAGCACTTCCTGCTCGTTTATGTGGTAGCACCTTTCCGTGGCCGCGGGTGCGTAGGCTATCACACGCCGTTGTCCTCCATCGTCTTGAAACAATACCGCAGCCATACCCAGGCTGCTTGCGTCGGTTTGTAGACAAAATGGGTGTTGCGGGTCCGGGCGGCTGAGTTCCAGCGGCTGGGCCATAACTTCCTTAAGTTTGTCGAAAGCTTCTTATGCGGCGTTCCCCCAGGCGAACTTCTTCTTGGTTGCGAGTAGGTCGGTCAATGGGGAGGCGATTTCGGCAAACCGCGGGATGTATTCGTATTCGCCGTCACGGTGGTGGCCTCTGCCGCCGCCGAGTCAGCCATTGTCGTACTTGTTTGTTGCGTTTCGTCATCCTGACGAATTGTACTCGATTGTGGGGCCGGTGTCCCATCTAGCGTAAAGTCCCACATTTGTGTTTGTTCGGCTACGCGGGATCGTAGATACACATCCGTGTTCTCCGCCCCACACCGTTGGGCGTCATGTCTCCTTAACACTTCCGATGAAAACGCGACGAACGGGTTATCCGAATCCCTCGTGGAATCCATATTGTACCTCTTTCTTCACTCGGGATCTCTCTTTTCTCCTTATTATTTTTTCAGTCGAATTCTTTGAGTAATTTACCACCAGGTCCCAGACCCAGATTCTACTGTCCAGTAGAATGACTACCTCGAATTTACTTTATAAAAATAATATCTGCAGGTCCCAGGCCCGCTTTCTATACCAATAGAAATGAAACAAATGCTTTTTGTAAATTTGGTACTACAGAAAAAGCGATACCGCCGCTTGTCTGAGGAGCTCCGCACGCTAGTCGCGCCATTATTCTATGGCTAGAAATTGGCCTCAATGATTTGGGATCGAGGGGGATTATCCCTCTTTATCCTGCCTCATCTCGTGTAGGCCTGGNCTAACCGGGTCCTCCAGATTCCCCGTGCCTGTAAATGCCCCTTCGAGGGACTCGGTCGAGGTCAGTGACTCGTGGAGGCGGTCCTCTTCTAATTCGTACGCGGGTCGCACCGCGCATGCTTCTCTTTGTTCTCTTGATGTCATTTTTTACTCAATAATATCACATGTACATGCAACTCAATATATAAATCAGATAAAGAAGTATTGATTTGGGAAAGGTAGTAATTTACTTTACAATATTCGTTCTCCCTTTTCTCAAATTTAGGTTCTTTAACTCTCAAGGGATTAAATGGATCACAAAGTCTTCAACTACTCTAATTTTTACGTGGTTAACTGTATGGTCTCTATTTGATTACCTTACTCGCGACACTAATATTGTCTCTACAGTTTATAAACACTGCTAAATGTTCGTGAAAGTGTTTATTGTCTATACCGTTTCAAGGCAATGTATACGGAACCAAGTTCTAGCACTTACCCGCTCGGTACAGTCTGTTCCCGGGACCTGTCACTAGACTGCTCCTGGCTGCGGTATTCACTTATAATTATGCAAAGGACAACGTATTATTATTAGGGTTAACACTGACTTTACTACAAGTTTGTGGTTCAAGCTCTCATAGCTTGCACCACTAATATGATTTTTATTTAATTTCAGCTGAAGGCACTAACTGTTAATATGTTCTTTCTTTCAGGTTCAACTACCCTTCAAAATTCACGCTGAAGGCGCTATCACCACCAAGGACCGGATCAGAAGAAACCCAAGTTTATACTGACACATATATTGTAGGTAAGTACAACTGACTGATACTTCTCTTGCAGGTAGTTAAAACGCCTAGGTGAAATTCTTCTACGCGATCGCGTCTTTACGATTTAGTCTTGATTATATTAATTCGGCTCCGCGCACTTTCTTCCAATTTTCCCAATTTCGCCCTTACGTACTACTCACGCAAAGGCTATTTCGCGAGTCGTCTACTATAAACCCAAATTCGGAATAGGTCGGTCGATACCACTTTACTGACCAATTAAGATTAGTTATGACTTATGTCGGAATCCTTCCAGGACGTCCGCACTTGAATATATCGAAACGACGCTTGTCAACTTTGAATTCTTTTCGGAAAACACTCCCAACGTGGGTTCGATTTCCATACGAGGTCTGCTGGCTTGCTCTCCGCGATTCCGTTCTTAAATATCCAGTCGGACCGATAGGACCCGCCCTAAAACGCTGTGTCCGCCAATCGGCTCGGATTTTCCTATACTTCTAACAAAACTAATTTCTCAAATTTTTAACTCG